TAAAAAAACATCCCAGTAAGGGAAAATCAGTGAATAATAAGCAGCATATAAATTCCAGGAGAACAAGTTTTCTGTGAATTTCCATCTTGCTGTATGATGATAGTGGTGATGCTGTTAACGACTTGGTGGTGGTAATGGTAATATGGTGATGACGATGTTGTTGTCTAGTGGGCGTTGTTAACGGGGAGTATAGTATAGATCCAATGCGCTGCCCACTGCCTTGACCAAAAGCCAGATGTCTGATCTGTGAATGGTTCTTGAGGTGCTACAGCTTTAATACATAAACCAACCTCTGTCAATAGATTTCAAACAATTTCCCAGAAAAAATATTTTCTACATTAAATTGTGGCTTACTCAAGAAATGAATGAATTGTGTAACGGAGGAAAAAGCAGGAATACCGGTCAGCTCAAACCAATATTGACCGATGTCCGACTTTGGCCAGCGTGCAGCTGAAGAGGTATAAGTGATAGCCGGAATAATTTCCCCGAAATATCGTAGCCTTGCTGTGGTTACCTAATGAATTAATGAAGGCGAGTTTTGATTACCTTTGAAGAGCAGGGTATAAATATCAAGAGTGAATACCTGGGTTCTCTGCTAGAATATCCTGGCCCTGAACTGCTGCTGTGAAAAATCCGGTGTCGCTTTGAGAAAGAATCCCAGATGCTTTGATATTGCTCTCACACGTGTATTCCTAGTCTTGTCTATGGTAGAATATAGAAATATACGATACCACTAATATTGACGCTCTGTTTAGATTAATTATTTTCCCTTGTTAAAATGTATAGCTGTTATCTTGAGGAGAACATTTAAGTTTGATAAACTCTCCTTTTCACAAGAAGGCTAGCTATCCTAGTGTCCTTTTCCGATGTAAATTCCTTTTTTTTAAAGGCTATCCCTTTTTTCTTAGATTCTCCTGCTTTAGCTAGCTCATCAACGTAGTCATCCGCAGAAAGAGTCAGTAAACATGTGTAAAGAATCCTTTCCTGAACGACCCCAGTCACTGCAGACACTCACCGTTTCCGACCTCTTCCTCTGAGTCAGTCTTAAGTCGACTAAAGAGGGGTGACAGCTTGTATTGTCCAGTGACTTACCAAAGCAACACTTGCTTCCTGTATCAATCTTTAGTAGTGTAGGTAGTGCTTAAAATTCAATGCTGATGTAATTTGATGTCCTCTTGGTTCTTTTATCTCCAGTGTGTCGCCACAGAGGCTAGATAGCAAAGACGGCTAATTACATAACAGCAGGAACCACCGGCACGGAAGTATTGTTCTTCGTTAAGTAGTCTTTTACTGTCTTCCGTCTCGACGCAAAACTGAAAAAAGTAAAGTATACCTTACGGTGACCTTAGTCAAGTTCCCACATGAGTGATTCGGTATAATACACGGGCATTCTTTACACACGATATCTTAAGTTAACAGACACACAAAACAGGTTCTTTTGCATACATTGCGGTTAGTTTTCGCACTCCCATGCCATATATCTAGGTCACCTGACGTATTAATGTTTACAAGCTGAATGATGGACGTTAATGATGTAATGAATTTATGTTGATACGGTCGGTGATTGGCGGCGAGGGGGGGGGGGGGGGGGGGTGTTGATAGGAGTTATATTTCAGAGTTATGTTTTGTGATTGACTTTTTTTGTTGACATAATACCACGCATGAAATTTTGGCTGAAATGCTGAATACTTACGTTGTTTACAACCATTGCAGACACACACACACACACACAGAGAGAGAGAGAGCATTGTGATGATTCACATTCTTGAGTCTTGAGGTGTCACAAATGAAAGAAGTATGTAGAAGTGGTTACCCTTAATGCACATGTATGATAAAAATTAGAATTGATTCAAGAGTAGATGCGTTATAAAAAAAAAAAGAGATGACGAGTCAAAAGCAAGAATGGGGGTATAGAGGGAGATCAGTCATCAAAAAATCCTGTTCCGGCGGTTTAGCCTATTTCTCAATGTTTGATTAAGTCGCTCTACCTGAACGTGATGTGAACGCGGCGGAATAATCGCTTTCACCAGTTTTGCGGTGGAGATGATTCACCTCTCGGGGGGGTCAGTAATTAAAGAATTATGTTTTAATACATACGGAAATAGGATGGCCAACATTTCATGTCTATATACGGGTTAATCAGGATGTGTACCCGATAAACCGTCATTGTTTATTTTTATGACGGCTGATAGAGCGTGTTTGTTGTTAGAAATCTGTGAAAGACAGCGAGAGCGTTGTACTTAGTGTAAACATGGAAGACCGGTTTTTGCTGTAACCCGACGGGACGCCGCTGAAAAGTAAGATAGGCACGCATGTGCTGTGCAAATGTTGCTGAAAATAAATATATTATAAATATGGCGGTGGTTGACTATTATAGAAGGGTTACGGGGAGGGGGGGGGGTAAATCAAAGCAAAACTAAACATTCAAATGGTACAAGTATATGAGCATACATGTGGAAGTTTACTAATAATACAGTACACATGTAAACCATAATACAGTATACATGTAATACAGTATACATGTAAACCGAGTATAAGGTACGTAACGTTAGAGATGTTAAGGAACACGAACATACATATATTTGTGCATTATTTACTTTCCTGGTCTTCTTATTGGCATCAAGATGTCAAAATTGTGCACCTGAAGGGGTGGTATTCTTGAAAAGCCAGTCCCCTGGGGCCAGTCCCAGTATCACAGAGCATACGTCATCGTTGTTAACAGGGAGTAGAAGACGAGATTCATTTTTCTATGTAAATGCCCGTACTGCAAGAATCACAGCCAGACTGCGCCCCCCCCCCCACACACACACACGTACACTAGCTGTACATGTACCTGCAACACCCCAACAGGTATTGTTGAAAATTTCAATAACAATATAATGAGAATGATGCCAAAACTGTAAAAGCCCTTGCTAGATATGTAAAGCCATGTCTCATAGAAAGAAATCTGGCTGTCTGCTAGATAACATGTTAAATCACCTGTAATTGTAATAATAATAATAATAAACCTATTTTTTAAAAATTTCTTTATTAAAAAAAAAAAAAAAGATTGATGAATACTGCGATTATCAAATGTTGTTCCTGTTAGATACAAGAGATATGAATGTTTGCGTTTTATTTATTACCTTGTCTAACCCCAGTTGTGTCATCGCCTTTTAAGTGGCTTTGTTTACTAACTGGAGTTGCTACATCGTGTCGCAGAGTTGTAATTGCGGTAGCTGCGCCGAGGAGTGGATTGCGCTGGATAAGACATTTAAGTTAATGGAAGTCAACAACAGCAGTGTGCAACCCTAACATCCAGAAAAATGGTTTGAGGGGAAAGAAATAAGCAAATGGAAATAAAATATTGAAAATCACATTTAGAATATTCTTTTAAATTGCGATAAATATGATCAGCTTAAATAAATGCATAAATTCCCAATTTTATCATTTCTTTGGAGCGCTAACATTCTCTCTCCTGCTTGGAAACCCTCTCCTTCTATCCTCCTTTTTTATATAATGCATGTATCAAATGGGGTGCCTTTAAGAATCGGCCTTTACAAAGTGTCGTGTTTTGCAAGTTTTTTTATCCTCTATAACGTGCTAAACTTCCGCGGTGGCGGGAGCCATTAATAGAGAGACAGTATCTTGCAATTCCGGAGGACCCTGGCTAAGGGCGCATTCCCATAGATTTTAGATCGATCTATCCCCGTGGGGAGTCTCACTAGATTACTGTCAGATAATCCGGCTTAAATGTCCGTCCCGCCTACTACAAGCTGTAAGGGGGTAATTAACTTCCGTGCCCGCCCGGCTGACAGCTACTTAGCGTGAACCCCCAGGGAGTTAGGTCGATCTAGTTGGATCGATCTAATCTCTGGGAATGGGGTCTTAGAGACCATTCCAGGATCCAATCGTACTAACTGTGGATCGGTCTATCTTCGAGGGGATTATCGCTAAATTGCAATCAACTTAAGCGGCTTAGATGTCCGTCATCCCCACTGAAGCTGCTAGGGGGTAATTAATTATCGTTTAGCAGCTTCAGTAGGCGTGCCAGGCATCTAAGCTGCTTAGGTTGATATGCAATTAAGCGAGAAACCTCTTGGAGATGGATCGATCCTGTTAGATCAATCTAGGTATGGGAACCCAGGGTTAGAGGCCATGCAGTGCACTGACCCATTAGGTCCTCTAGCGCCACTTAAAGACGCGATACTCATCATGACAATCGCGTGACAACTTAAACGCCCAATTTAAGCTGATAACGGACCTCTTTGAATACGTTTATCTTAAATTACTGCCTTGGCAAAACAGAGCCAGTTAAAGACCACTGTTTAGAATGCCCCGACCTGTACGATAATTATTGGTGATCGCTTTTTATAATGCGTTGACACTAACATTTATTAAATGACCACTATTTAATTCACGCACAGATTAAATACATGTGGTAAACCTGAGGAAATGCATTGTACATGAATTTGTTTTATATTTAATTCACACGAGCCAGGCTTACCCCCGCCCCGTGTCTGAGCGAGTGTTATAAATGATAAATAAGGATAGAGAGAGGGGCAAGGTGTTAAGAAAGTTCAGCAAGCTTAGTCTTTCCTAGGTCTTCCCGGAGTTTTCCGAGGACACTGTGACACCGCTGATCCTTATTTTTCTGTTTGTTAGTGGCGCGAAAGTAAAAGGCAAAATGGTGCGCGGGGTCCTTGCTCTGAGTGCGGTTCTTATTGTTATAGCCGTTGTTGAAGGTAGGAAAATATGTTATGTATTGTGTCTTATTAACAAAACGCATCTGAAGTGTTTTCTGTAACTTTTAAGACTTAAATATCTTCATATATTACATAATATTTTTTAATAATTTTATACATCTTTGATAATTATGTAGAAAAGATTGGATGCTTCCATGAAATATACTACTTAGTCATGTCGATGCAGTGTTTATTGATTCATATTTGAGGGTGGGGGCAATGTCTACATTTTTGGTATATCAACAACTAAAATAAAATTTAGTATCAGGTAATTTTACTTGTCAAGATCACTTTCATGTTAGTTTCACTGCGACGAAACTATTTTTCTGTAGGTGTGGTTCTTATCGAATTAGATCGACCCAACCTATGAAACTCGTCTGGAGAATTATTTTTAAAAATATTTACGATCTCCCACTGATGGTGTGGATGTTGATCGCGTCCGATCATACTGGGGCTATGACTTGGAGAACACCTTTGTGCTTTAAACGTATTGTTCGAAGGCTTCCCTCGACGAACCAACAATTTTATATATTGGGATGCTTGATAAAATGTATGTCTTTTTTTCAGATATTTTGGTTGTAAACTGGGATTAATTTTGCCTTGATATTATAGACAAATCCCCCACCCACTATCCATTTGTATATGCCTCTGACTGTAGTCTATATGGTATCATATCTGGGATTGTGTTTTTGTAATCGTTTCAGGACAGTATACGCAGCCGGCATACACTCACCCTCCCGCCCCAGGCAAGACTTATACCTCTTGTAAGTATTGGACAGCCTTTCTACAACTCTTCATTCTTTCCTCTCTCTCTCTTTCTCTCTCTCTCTCTCCCCATTCCTTCTCTCTCTCTCTCTCTCTCTCTCTCTCTCTCTCTCTCTCTCATATGTACGACGAGTTGGGCTAAGTATTTCAGATTAATTCGTTTTGATATTGGACCACTTCCCATTAATTCTCTTTTTACAACGAAAACAGAATATAAACAGATGCAAATATAAATGCCGATAAATGGCAATGAATAAATGTGAAAAAAATATAAAATTTTAATCCATTATTAATAGATTGATAATTTAATATCTAATTTAAAAAATGTATTGATTAATGAATCTACTTTATTTTATTCGTTCAAATAGATCTTCTTCCTGTCTTTCTTTTTCTTTTTATCCTTTTTTTTATTCATTATATACCTGACGTGAATATCTACCTGTCCATCATTTCAGACTACCCACCCCCGGCTGGCTGGAGTAACTGGTCAGATTTCTCGGCCTGTTGCCAAAATCGCCGTGCCCGCATAAGACAGTGTATCAACCCTCTGTACACTGGTACCCCCTCGTGCATGGGACCCGCTGTCGACTGGGAGACGTGCGCTGCGGGCTCCGTGGAAGTCTGTGCATAGGCCGCCGAGAGGGCGCCTTTATGGACTACGTTAAAAATAAAAGACGCGGAGGATTTATTCTACCATGCTAATTACTGATAATATTATGGTCATGAAATTTATTTGAGCCGATTGAATTTTGACTTTTTAAAAACTGCCATGACAGCAGTAAAAGTTACAGTATATGTAATGCCGGTTAACCCAGGGATTCACGAATAGGATTATGTAAATTGGATGCATTTGTTTAAGAACTGATCCTTCAGAAGAACGATATTGCGGACTCGCACGCTTATTACCGGTGGATGTGGAAAACGAAGGCACTGACTTTCTGAATGTTTTGATTTACATGTACTGTATAAGAAAATACTTTTAAATATGAGAAGAGAAGCGAACAGGAATATGTGACGTTCCCGTATGTTTTTTTTAAAGAATCAATGTTTAATAAAATATTATAGTATTGTTAAAGCAATGTTGCGGGTCTAAAATTAAATGACAAATACATGTTGTGCGTGTCTGTTGCTTGAATGGGTTTTCTGTTGATTTGTCCCCCTGTACTATAAATACAAAGCTTTGTCAAGTGGAACCCCCCCCCCTCTCTCTCTCTCTCTCTCACACACACACACACACACGCGTGCGCTGATTCACACCCACGCACACATATACACCGGCCTCCATCTATCACATGTAAAAACAAAGAAGTCTAAACGCGTGTCACAAAAAATGGAGCAATTTTCAATAATGTGAATGGCATGGAAACCATGCAAATATTCCTGTCATAGTATGAGAGATGAATTCAGAGAAAGATGACGTGAGAAACTTTCTTTGTCCTCAAAGTGAGTTAAAACACAGCATAGTATTTTCATTATTAAAATATTATCATTCCCCTCATTTCCACCTCTGGACGCATTTTCTGACACTATCATCACATAAATTATAAAAAAGCTTTCAAACTCCACGTCCAGAACTATATCAGGACATTTGTGGTGATGATATTATGTAAGCTGGCAAGACTGTCACTCGCTCTATTGACTTGGCATTCTTAAGCAACATCTCTTCTTGACACCAATGATAATTGTAATTATATTTTCAGCTTCACGCTTTCTTATGAAAGTCCCCGATGAGTTTATCTCACCAGTAACGGCCACAGCCAAAGGTAAGTAATCGCGTTTTTGGTTTGATTTATCGCCAAAATTCGAGTATATAAAGAACAGCCGGTGCAAAAGTGTTAAATAGACTTGATTGTTTGTGCGAACGTTTTTAATTCTTTGCGTGTATCGCCAAACTCTGCGCTAATATGGATAAAACAGCAGCGACCGTACTACTGCTTGTCATCATGGGAAGTTTCATAGGTAAGATTTTATTCTTTATTCCATTACTGGAGAGATTGACGGCTATGAAATGGGGAAATTTTGTCAGAAAAGTAGGTTAAAAGCCACATTTTGGTTTTATTCCTTTAACTTTCAATCCCAATAATAATAATAATAATAATTCTTATTTCCCTTTCATTTGAAAAACGACTGATATAAAGTTTTTGTTAAAATAAAAATGGCGAGCGTTCCTCGCCCAGAAATGTGCTAAATTAACACCACATAAGGAATATGATTAAACCAGACACTGCTTTTTTTCCAGGCTCTCACGGCAATACGAGATTTTGGTGGCTGCAACTAGGACAGCCCAATAACCAGGTGGCAGGTGAGTGAATCACCGAAATTCAAGAAATTATGGAAATAAAGCTGCCCCCTGTTGCCGTCAATATGTGATACATAATTTTACATGTATATACATTCTGTTGCCCTATATCACTTTCACTAATTTATTTCATTATCTTTTTATGATTGAGAAAGACAGTATGAATTTCACTTAAGAAACATAAGTAAAGAGGATGACTTTGTGGATATAAATTCTCTTCTCCCTCCTCAAGCTCTCTCTCTCTTTGGTTGAGCTAAGGCAAATGACTTTGTTAGATTTTGTACAATTCAATTAAACGTTTCGTTTTTATGCTTTTTATCACCTGATATGCTTAATTTCATTCTTCAGTCTCCGGCTGGGGCCCGTGGTCCGGATTTGGGTTCTGCTGTAACGGAGTTCAGCGTCGGATCCGGTATTGCCGCATTCCGAGCTACCTCGGCTCAGCCGGATGCGACGGGCCGACTTGGGAGGAATTCGTGGCCTGCCCAGATGGCGCTACTGATACCTGTGCTACGTTAGTATCCGGTAAATAGCTAGGACCGGATGATCCGGATGACGGATCAGGATCCGGTGAAGCGGATATGAACACCATATTGGATTGATCAGGAATCCGTACTCTTCGATAGGAGAGAATGAGACATTGATATTGATACAGACGGAAATAATAGCATTTCTTTTAAAAATAGCGGAGGGAAATTTGCTTCCGAATTCAGTATTAAAATATTATCAAAGATAGACACTGGAAGAAATCAGAGAAATACTAAATTAGTTCTGAAAATAGACCAGAGATAGCCGACAGTGACTTGACTGCTTAGTGTTTTAAAGTACTAGTTGATCTCATGAAATCGACTTATTAACGATTGAATTTATTCTGCCACTTTTTATTTCAAACTCGATTTGTACCTGTAAATAATAATGTGTGCATTTTATCGATTGCATTATAATGGTTAAGTAAAGGAATAAAAAACAAAATGAAAGATATATCATTTTTTGCCTTACCATTTCGAATTTGAATAACGCGTATAAAAGCAATTGTGTTTGTCTTTACTGAATATGTATTGTCTTGGCTTGATCGAATGTATTGTGCGTGCTTTGTCCATGTATCTGCCTGCCTGTGAGCGTATATGCGTGTGTCCAAGTACGTTCACATTAATGCAATAGTGCGTTCAAAATGCAACCAGACTTTCAAAAACACGAAATAGATAAAACCGTCTTGTAATTTTTTACGCCAACTTTAAAATAATGACCCTTGGCCAAGCCTTGCCCATTTTACGCTTGAAATATCGCTTTAGATGAACAGAATAAATAAAAAGATATCAGTCTAGTACCGTGTCTAACTGTCGGGAGGAAGATAGACATCTCCTAACGATACACCTGACAATGTCGCTGTCCAGTAATCACCAGCTTTAGTGACCAGTGTCCAGGCGGTCATTTCCGTCGTGTGTCCGAAGAACTTTGTCCTGTGTTTTTTTTTTTTTTTTTTTTTTTTTTTTTTTTTTTTTTTTGCGGTCAGCTGAGTGCACTTCAAGTGCATGTCTTTTCTGATCAACTTTTTTTTTTTTTTTGGGGGGGGGGTCACTTGTGTAATTCATTGTATTCTCATGTCTCGGCATTTCCTATTGTTTGTTTAAGTCCAGTACCCAGCACAAGTTTTTTCTCTCTCTTCTCTCTCTCTCTCTTTCTTTCTCTCCCTCACTAAGTTGCCAAGAAAATTCCACATTTTTCCATCTTGCAAAGTTCGCCGAAGCCTTACTGTCTTTGAAAGGTTACTTGTAATCTACCCCCTACCGGGGCCACAGATTGATTTTTCACTAGATATTAACAGATATGTCTCTGGTTAAATAGATGGTTAATTTCTGCACTGTGTCCACAAATATGTCCATCGCCTCAGCAAAAAATGTTCACAGAATAATAACTGCGGCCCTGGTAGAGGGTACTTGTAATCAAGGACACGAAATAGCACGAGTTGCTTCCATCATATTTCAAGTTAAGTCAGTTCGAGGTAAGCTTCACAGAGAGAAACGCTTCCTGGGGCATATCCTCTCCCTTCATTCGCCGGTGAACACTTGGCAATCACTCTCGGATAACCCTTCAGTTGACATTCAGTGGACTTTCGGCGCCTTCCCTATTTATTTATTTATTTATCTATGATATTTTATCTTACGTCGCCAGCCTGCGACATAAACAGGGGTTAAGAATATCAGCAAGCTGAACATAATGCATATAGAGCAAAAATGATTGAATAAAATAAGTGGAACCAGTCGAAATGTAGACACGCAGTCTGTAGATAATCTTGAAGTGTGTGGTGAAATTAAAAAGTCTGAGGACATATCTCGCCAAATATAGATAACGCATGAAAGAATGGCACCTCTTCAAATATCATTTCTAAGATTTCCCTGTCGGGCTAAGGTCATGTTTGCTGTAAATAAACAGTTTGTGGTGTACTTCCCTATAAATTGACGCGGTCTGCCGATGACAAGCCAACAGTATGAAAAATTGCGGCGAAATTAGAGATAAATATATTCCTAAAAATGAAGTTATTAATAAACAGAGTTAATATATACGATGAGAGGATATCTCAATACAAACGGAAAAGTTTGATATTCAGATCGAGTCAAAGCCACACGTGTAGCAGTTCACTAAGATAAACCACCTATTGGTCTAAAACATTTGCTACGTGTTTGTTTTTCAAAATAATAATAATAATAATAATAATAATAATAATAATAATAATAATAATAAACGAAATATTTCCAATAATTAGTCCGCTTCTAATTCATCCAGGGTCACAAGAACTTTGATTGTTTAATCCCAAAGTTAAGAGGAGCTGTCAGTCTTTTTAAGTTCTTCGTGAATCAGACGATTTTTTCCTTCAATTTTTACATCGAAAATGATCGGAAACTTCATGACTTTATATTTCTGATTGTTGCTTAAGCTGAAAAATTGAATTTGTTCTTCGTAGTTTAATTTTTGCAGATATGGGTGGTAATTGGGCTCATCGGCCGAAGGAAAAAAATATATATTAAGACTGAAAAAAAAACGAACTCTGCGAGCCCCTCAAAAAAAGTCCATGACACTAATTTGTTTTTAGGACAGCAATACTAATGAAACTTATAAATTAACCCCCTTAAATCGTCAAACAAGCATTCTCAAAGGCAAATAATTCTTGTAAGTGACAGTTAGATGCTACTTAACGCTTTTCGAATTCCCTATCCACCCTAATTTTTCTACTACAACATGCAATTTATCCCTACATATACGCCATCTGACAACTGAAACATAAACTACAATCACAAACTTTCGTCTAATTCTGGTGATTTTCGTCTTTGACCAACCACATCAATACTGGAATTAAGAGACAAAAAAAGTTTGATAATCTAGCAACTTAAGATAAGCTTAGCGTTAGATTTCCAAAGTAGATCTGCACCCTCTCTGACTATTTAGCGTTAAAAACTGTCACGCCAGGGTGACTCCGATTGTCATCTCAACCAAAGCCTTATACGATATATTTATGGTAATTTGTTTTGCAAATAAATACGTGTTTCCAACACTAAATAACCAGCTTTGACTATCAGCGACGGATATTTTTTGGGAAGAATGCCTATAAAAGGAGCAGCAGGGAAAGGAATCCCCATCTTCCCTTTTCGTATTGCAGAAAGATCGCTCGCCAGGTCCTAGCATATCCCGCTGCACCATGTGGAAAGTGGTAGCACTTGTCGCCGCAGTCGTTGCCGTCTTCGCCACTAACGTGGACGCCAACACTGTAAAAAGTAAGTAAATTAGGGTAACATGAAAGATTTGTTCCCATACTGCACGTATTTCTAAAAACACATTTTTTATGCTTCCGACCGAAGTACAATTTCTTTGACAGTGACTTTAAAAGTTAAAACATAATGAAAGGTGTTGTAACGTTGCGAGGTATTAATCCTTGAGGGAGGGGGGATATTTGTTTAAGGTCAATGTGCATAGTACAAAAAATAACCTAGCAAAATCTGTTCTTATTCTACGACCAAACAAGAAAGTGTTTAATAGCATATGTTTGAAATTCCAATCACTTGATATTCTCATATATACTATTTAGTAATTTTGTCTGAGCAAAGACCTGGGTCCTACATGCCATTTTGATGTAAGTTTCTTTTGTGGCATCAGCCCCTGTAGACTCAGCCGACCAGTTACCATTGTTTAAACGGATTTTTTTTCTATTTTTCAGCGGCCTGGTACTATCATAACCCGTACTACCCGCCACCCGTACCAAGTAAGTTATAACATGCGCATGCGCACTAAATGCACGTTACAATAACATTCATTGAGAGACTATTAAAGGATTACGCGGTCTTCCTTTTATGTAAGTCCGCCATATTTTGGTCTCGGCCCTGCTAGACCTCGGCTCTTCTCGATTTGAATGCTTTCAGTGACATTCAAGGCTCACTTCCAATGTATGTGGGACCAACTCCACGAGGACTTTCGCTGAATGCAATCAGTTAACAAATTACCGCGCTTCCTCTTATTTCCAACGTGCCCGTATAATCACAGCTTTGCTGTATTTTATTCAACGCTAGAGTAGGAATGTAAATCTGGTTATCTGATTGCATTCGGGGGTGGGGGGTGGGGTGGGGACTCGCGAAGTTGGATCGATCTACTAGAACGCAGAAATAGTAAACTGTGTGTTATTGATTAGAAAATTCAGAACCGATATTTTGATTTAAATGTTTTTTTCATTTAGCTTACAGCTGGCTCGCCTGGGGCCAATGGAGCAATTGTTGCAACGGCACCCAGACAAGATTCCGTAATTGCAACCCGACCACCAGAATTGGATTCAACGGCTGCACAGACGCAAGCGTCCAGTCACAATCATGCGCCACCAACACATGCACGTAAATGCACTTCCGGCGATCTATTCTGTCGCACTTATACAGCAACCTGCAGAAATCGACCAGCCTCCTTCTCGTGTGCATGTTGATGGACTTTTGCTAAATACACTAGCACTTGTTCAACCTTCCAGAAAATTTCGACCGATTTCGTAATTGAAACGAGAGATGTACGGAATTACCCGAACTGCGCAGAACTTGGTCACGCAGATAACCTGTTGAAATGCAGTGCGTCAGATTCTTCGTCATTGGATAATTGCTATCTGAAATAAAACAAATATAATTTATTCATCAAAAAATTGTCTTATTGTTCTTAGAACATCTCACATTGCAGATTTTGTATCCTACGTGTTTCTTAAACTCTCTAAAGGTACACAACAAGCGAGTAGACACTGTGCACATTCTCTGTAATGCACGCAAAGTACTACCACTATAGATTCTTACACAACTGAAATGAAATCCACTTGCAAAAAAAAAAAAAAAAAAAAAAAA